CTGTGATCTTGCCGACATTGCTCTTCTTGCACTTGTGGTAGAACTCTTTCAGCTCAGGCGTCTGAGCGCACGCCTTCCTCAGCACCCCCTGAGCTGAAACCCTGAGAGACTTGCTGAGACGACCGGCGCTTCTTGACCTTAGCAGCACGTCGATGCCGTCATTGAAGGAGTCGTAGACCTTGAAGCTCTCCCGGAGGACAATGCCGAAGGCTGACCGCGCGGCGGCGCTGGCGCTTGTGTTGTTGTCCGGAAGGAGCTGGACAGCGACGTCAAGCAGCCTCTGGCACATGGTGAGCTTGAAGAGGAGCTCCTCGGCGGCGACGGCATCGTAGGAGGAGGCCGGGTGCGGCTTGTCGTCGTGATCTTGTGGTGGGGGGCGGGTGGGCTCCAGGTTGCCGGACTGGTTGATCACCCACTGCATGCGCTCCTCGAGGTAGGCCGTGTAGCCGTGGAGGAAAGAGCACGCGCCGGTGGCGGTCACCGTGCTGGCCGTGACATAGTTGGCGCCGGCGCCTGAGGCAGCGAGGGGAGAACAGGAGCAGCCGCAACGTGGCGCGTCGACGCGGAGGTCGCGGGAGGCCCAGAGGCCTCGGAAGTCCTGCTCGAAGTAGCGGTCGCCCGCGCGGAGGAGGCGGTGGACGAGGAGCAGAGACCGGAGCGCGGTGGCCGGGGTCCGCGCCGCCTCTAGGCGCGCCGTGATGCGGCGGGAGAGGAAGGTGATCGCGCCCGGGGCGTTGGAGACGAGGAAGAGGATCTCGTGGACGTGGCGGTCGTCACCGACGCTCCCGCCCCCTCCACCGTCCGTGCACCGCGCGATGGCCGCCTCGATGTCCGTGAGGAGCGCTCGGTCTGGCACCGCCGCCGTGGAAGCCTTGTTGGAGGCTGCGCCTACATGATCCATGAGTGACCCTAGTGCTGCCCAAATCTTGCCTCTGAACACCTTCATGTCTTATATGCCCTCATGAGAGTAGAGAGAGGAGGAGGAGATGAGAGAGATGGCGTATGTGAGTTATAGCACACTCCCTCTTGTGCATGCACTCACTTGCAGGTGGGCCAAGGGAGATATAGGTAGAGAGAGAAAGAGAGCTATAGATGGCCACGGTCAGACTCTGATGAGTGTCATCTTCACAAGAATTTCTCGAGTGAAGCGTCTGCATCAGCAAATCCACTATTGGCCTTATGACTTGGGGAAAAGGAGTTGCAGGATGAAAGCTAACCCTCCACTACTACCACCAATATCATGAGAGAGAGAGGAGAGAGAGAGAGCAAGAAATTATATTCGGAGGTCAACTCTTGGGTGGAAGAATCAAATGCCTTTGGAATGAGGTGCCCCTCCAGCATCAAAGGCTTCCTTCCTCCATTGGCAATGGACAGTAGGTTTGACTCAAACAAACAAGTTCTTTGGTATGAGGATGGATTCCTACACATCAACATCAAAACAAGGAGCTTTTGGGAGGAATGTAGGGTTTTGGGACTAACTAAAGGGGAGGCACGGTTAACCCACACTTAAGTACATCCCCAGGAGAAGCAGGGTCATAATCTATATTCCCCTCCTCACAAACATATCTCTCACCCTCAGCCACCTAGTGATGGGATAATGCTAGACTTTGCTTTATACTCGGATATACACGCCTCGCAAGAAATTAGTGGGGGCTTTACAACCCCTCATGGTCATGGTTTAGTTTAATGGTGGTGTTGATGTTGTTGTTCCGACGCACTTTGTAGCACAAAGTGTGCCGCCCGATGAGTCGACGAATCACAACGCGAAAAGTGTTAGGTTCGATAATTTCCTCGAAAGATGTTTTCGATAGAGAGAATTGCTTTTCCAATATAGAGAAATTGAAGGTGTGGAACATTCCTAGCCATTTGAAACAACTCAACCCCACATATATTCTCCGTGTCATATTGGTGGTGGCGGTAGTCGCTGGAATCAGCTACAAAAACTGCTTCACAACTTGCACTAGGTTATACAGTTGGAAGGGAAAAACAAGATAGCATATGATTAGGGTATTGTGCAAAATTTTACTGTATGCACAACTTACACTCTCTCTAGCTAAATGTCGGAAAACAGAAGACCAGCTCAAGGGAGCGTGCCTTGCGAACCGAAGAAACTAATTTCTGTATCCATGTCGACATTTTGTCACCACTTGCTTCAGTCCACCATGCTTGAATTCTTATTCTCAAAAGGACCGATCGATCACATGGGTCGATAGCAACATCATATGGGAATTATATCTACATATCCCATGAACCCAGCATGCCAATTCTACAGGACCTTGAGCTGATCATTTGTCCATGTCATCGTATGCAACATTTCCCTCAAAGAACATTCCGTCGGAGAGGGAGGATTGGAGAAAGTGTAAAGGCAGTTCTACTTGACGAGACTAAAGGCAAAGGTAGTGTTTCTTTAATAGTACTTGCCTTTTAGTGAAACAAACAATGGACTTGGAATTTTTATGTTGTTCCTCTTTCCTATCCTCTGCCTTAGCATGAAAAATTCCACAGAAAAGGGTAGACTTTATAGGGGCCTAAGCACATCCTTCATGTGGTGCATGCAACACTAACTGGCATCAGTGGGGTTTACAATACTGGAATTTGATGCTGCTTTGCTACAGCATCAGATTCAAATCCATTAACCAGGAATTTGAGGTATTCATTAATTAATTGGCACTACATTACAAAAAACATGTATCCCAATTATTGATTATATCACCTACTAAAATAGAGCTACACCTAAAATGCGTAGTAAGTACACAAAAATGCCCATACAGCTTTATAAAAGGCTGAGTAATTGTATATTTTGATAAAATTCAACTTCCTGCTTAATTCATATTTAAGTAAACTGTGCCCGGCTAGGAGAGTATATTGCTACTAGTTTCCTCTAAATGATTACTATCTCTTAAATGAAAGAACATGGATATGTCCTCAAAATTAAGTACCTCCACGACAAAATAGATGACGTCCTAGAAAATGTGTTGTCGAACATCTCTAGCTCCAACTATGTAAAAAAGGTTATTCCGATTGCTCTTAGATAATACTAGTACCATTAGAATTTTCAAGGAAAATATGTTGTAGTTTTATGATACCATTTCTATGATTACATACTTAAAAAGCATAACGTTGCAGCTTAAAAATTGTTCATGTCTAAAATGGCATGTATTTAGGCTTGCGTTGGTGACAGTACTGAATACCAATTTTAAGGATGCCACGTGGAAAAGCTGCATTTCCTCCTTCAAAGAATTTGCATATTTACGTGTATGGCGCTGAGTGTTGGGCAACTAAAAGGTGACATGTTCAACAGTTACGTGTAGCAGAGATGCGCATGTTGAGATAAATGTGTGGCCACAAAGAAAGGATTGGGCCCAAAATGATGATATACATGGTAGAGTCGGGGTAGTACTGATTGAAGAGAAGTTTGTCCAACATCGTTTAGGATGGTTTGAGCATATACATCGCAGGCCTTCTGAAACTCCATTGCATAGCGGATGGTTAAAGTGTGCTCATAATATCAAAAGAGAGGTCGAGGTAGATCAAACTTGACATGGAGGAGTCCGTAAAGAGAGATCTGAAGGACCAAAATATCACCAAAGAACTAGCCATAGACAAGGGTGCATCAAACCATGAGTTGGCTTCAAGATCTTATGAGTTTCGGCTCTAGTCTATCCTACCTTGTTCAGGACTAAAAACTTTGTTGTTTGTTATGATGGTGGTGGTTTTATATAACACAAAGAATTGAAGATAAGCTGACTAGACAGGAGCGAATGGATGTTTGGCACATAAAAAATGCCACAAGTCCTACTTACTGCAGCTGACACAAGAAATGTTACAGTATAGTAGAAGCTAACCTGCTTGCCAGCTAGGCGCTATCTGTTACAGTATAGTAGAAGCTGGCGTGGAACCTGACCTGTGTGCCACTTGAATCATCGTCATATCTATCCAAACAGCCAACACGCTAACCAGCCAAAGAAAAAATCTCACGGAACAGCAAGCCCATTGTTGTCGCCAGGATTTGGAGCGCTTGGAAAGCGCTGAAGGAGACCACAAAAGAAAAAGAAATGCGATAAACTTGGACAAGTCAAAAAGGCAAGGTTGGCAGGGCAGAGTGGGAGATAAAGTTGATAGGTTGCAACTAGTAGGACAGGGACATCACCAGCAGAAAACCAGGCCGGGAAAAGAGGAAAAGAGAGGAGCGGCACAAAAAGGAGACCTTGATTGATCTGCGTGTAAACTAGCGGGGCAGCAGCAATGGCATCGGATGCAGTCTACTCTTCCTGCCTCTTGCCAATCTGGGTGCGTGTGTTCCATCTCACAAAAGTCGAGCACTGCACAAGTCAAACCCGCCAGATTACACGGAGATTAGGCTGCCTCAAAAGCGTCGGAGAGTGGGCACTATCTATACCTGAAACATAAGTCCATGATCAGTGACATGTATTCGCAGGCAAACTTTTTTGAGCTTTTGCCACAACCAAAAGATAGGATAGCAAACCATCAGAAGGGGAATACAACCTACACTTGTGGCAAGCACCGCCGACAATCCATCTTAAACATTGAACCAGCAGCCGTGATTTCCCGAGTAGACAAACACCCAACTACTTACCATTTACCAAGTTCTAAAACAGTGGAACCATGTGTAGATGCTAGATACCATGTCCAAATAACTAGGCTGTAAAAGCTAAGATAACAGGCGATTCTTCAACAAATTACAACAAGGGTACATGATGACATGATACATCACGGGACCTAGGACACTGAGAGTCCAGAACAGGCGCACTGACAAGGCTCCAAGACATACAAGCTGTTACAATTAGTTGCTACGACTACAAGTAAATCTAGAACATCACCGACATACACCAAATAACAACACAGCAAGACCCCTAAAGCTGGTATTAATCTCAAAGCAACAACTGAATGCACATCCATTGGGCATTCCGTCCCACATGCGTCTTTACAGTGAGTCAAATCCTTGGATCTTCAGACATGAGCCATGGAGGAATCCGATATCATGCTCTGGCCCTCTTGCTACTGCTGCTGCAATTTGGGCATTTGTAGTGCTTGATGTGCTCAGCTTTGGCAGGAGTGATCTTCACACACTTACCGTGGAACCATGTCTCACAAGCATCACAGCAGATCCAGAATTCATCCTGTCCATAGTTATCGTTACACGCACCACATAATGCCTTTTCATGTTCTTCTCCCTCTTCTTCCTCGCCTCCACTGTCGTCCTCATCCTTCGGAGGTGGTGGCATCTTTGGACCCCTTGAGTTGGGTTCTGGCTGGCGAGATGGCTGGGGAAGTGTGTTTGCGCCACAAGACAACAAATTATGAGCTTAGTTTTAGGTCAGCATTGTTGCAGTAAAACGAAAATGGTTCATTACCTTAGTGCCAGATTTATTTATCTTGCTGCTGCTTTTGGGGTGTTTTTCTTTGACCTGCTTCTTCGCAGTTCCGGTGACAACCTCATATATGGTGGGGAGGTTGTTTATCATGCTAAAAAGCCGCTTCCTGCAACAAAAACACAAAATGTAACTAATGACGCTGATCTTCACTATATGTAAGAAATACAATCATAAGAAATACAATCACACCTTTAAAAGAATGAAATATCTAAAGGGACTAAATATGACAAGAGAAAACTTGTATCTATACAAGATGGTTAACGATTTTTTAATCTCAGAATCCACATAAGAAACCAAAGATCACAACAACAGCAAAGAGAGTACATAAAAAGGCTCACCTGTCAACCTAACCAAACTTCACATTTGCAAGAGAACAACATTTGATAAGCAGAAATACCTAGACAATTCATTTAAAGCAAAAACTGTTGACCGTAGATACTCCAACTGAATTTTCAAATTTGCATATCCAGAACTGCTCAAATAATTTCAATTTACTCATGTACAATCATTTCAATTGCAAGTATGCATGCATGCATGTCTGTTCCTACAAAATGGTAGTTCCATTTTAGGTGGTGTGTCCTTTCGCGTACTCCGTTGTAAAACTCTACTGATATATCTGCACATCTTTTGGTTCAACTGTTGATGGATTATAAGAAATGATGACTAAAACAGCAAATTCGTTATTCATTAGCAGGAATGGGTTGATCATGATGTTAATAATGTATCAAAAACTTAAATCAAAATATGCATAGAAAACAAGAGATACTCCATGGACAGTAGTAAGGCTTAAAAAGGCTCCAGGTGCTAGGTGAGCGTTTACCCAGCACCAGCTCTTAGGAGGCTTAGGGGTAGGCAGCTACTAGGTCAGAGGAGAGGATGGGGCTGCAGCGCCATGGGAGCTCGAAGGTGAGATGGGGGAGGCGGGAAGCTCCAGTGCTATCTCCTAGCAGCTGACGAGCAGAGGAGATTGGGATGGAGGCATATACTCCCTCCCTTCTGGTTTAAAGGGCTTAACTCAAAAACTCCTCAACCAAAGTAGATAGTGAGTGGTGGAACAAATTACATAGGTTGCAAAACTGTCCAATTAGCACTTTTTCCCCGCAAAAAAGGTGCTTTAATCTGGCATTAACTCCAGCGCATGTATGCATGGCCACTAAATGAGTAGAAACAGCCACATGCACTAGTTAGTTTTCTTCTAATTGCCTCAGAATCTAAAAAGGTTGATGAAGAGGAACGAAAACGGGACCAACAAATTGGAAAAACTAAAAAAAAAAAGAGATAGGCCCAATAAACCAGAAAGGAGGGAGTATGGAAGAACAGCGATTTGGGAGACGAGCGACAGGCAGATCTATCATGAGTGTTGATTTGTGCATTGGAATCTGCAGATTAACGGTGGTGCAATACGGTGAGTGGTGTGCCCAATTTGAACAGTGCTACTGTATGTAGGTGGGTGGGACAGTAGGAGGATGGTGGTTAATGAGGCAAAGAATTTATCTAGACAAAACCACTCAAAGTAATGGAAGACACATGTTGACAGATTCAACCAATAAAAAATGAACTTTCCTGACAGTAGGGACTGGGGAGCATCATATATCATGCATAGTATCATAGATTAGTCTCTTACATGATCTTATTTATTGTCATGCATGACTCATAGTAACATAAAATTTATTATGATATAGTATCATAATAATATGATACCAGCCCTCCCTTTCTTCATTTAATTTGATGCCACCTCATCAAAATTGCCAGTTGGCATGCATGATACTAGCTATGATACTCCCACTGCGGGTAGCCTCGTACAAATGGGCGGGTAATAAAGAGTAGCATTTGATTACTGTCAGTGAAAGCCTAGCTCAATGTTTGGTAAAAAGCTCACCAATATATTGCTACAATTATTGTTAGTGATCTTAAAATAATAATGACAATGTGATATTGGTACAATTATTTTCCTTAGCCACATAAAAAGAGTAATTATGCTTGATAAAAGTACATTCTATTAAATATTAAGATTTAAGTGCCATGTACAATTAAAGTGAAAAGGTATGAGGGAATATATATATATGTCTCAGTCAACTAGATAATTAACTAATTCTCACTTTTACAAATTCATTCATACAGATCTAAGAAGTTGTTCGGTGTGTTGAGGGAATAGGAATACATTTTGAGACAGAGGGAATATTGTCTTAGTCCAATGAGAATTACCTAATTATTTGATAATTTCACAAATATTTCATGCGAATCTAAAAAGAACATTCCAATGTAATAGTTGTTCATTAAGTACCAAAAGTACTATTGTCTGAGTCGACCAAAACTTAACAAATCATCAATGAATTTTACAAATATATTCGTACATATCGAGAAACAATCACCGTGCTATAATGATTTGTTCATCTAGTGTAAAAGTATCTATTGTTTAAATATGAAATCTCGTACATATCTCCACATCGGATTGACGGCGCTTAGTGTCAACCAAGAACTAAGAAGCTCCATACGAATGAAGATAAAAATATAGTACATTAAACAATTGACACTAACCGCTCAATTTATCACTAAATGAAAAAATAGAAATGTTAACCATGAGATTAATACGAAAATGAGATATGTTATTTCATGTGCCGAAGTAGATTACCCAGGTATTTTAGGGTCAAGTAGATTATTTAGGGGCTTCTTTAGGGCAAGATAAACTATTAGCTATGACATACTTGCCCCTAACTGTTTTGGTGTTAATGACAACTCAAAAGAGGGGACGCACAGTGGAGATTTGGTGGGAATCAACTCACGTACACTAACCTACATGCACTCACAACCCATCCCATGGAAGAGAGAACCCACTTTGAAAATCTGGCTATGTTTTGTTTCTAGCACCCCAGGAACCAACTTCGGGCACAACAGAAAGGATGCAATTGGGTTGTAATGTTTCTGTTGAGCCTTCCCCCAGCAGCCCGGACCCTCCGGCCAGCCCCCCAGACTTAGCAGAAAAGTTTTCAACTTCGGTTGCAACCTCGGTGGGAGGCTCAAGGAGAATAGGGTGAGCCTATCGTGGCGCTCGAGAAGCTTTGGTTTTCGCACCGCTCTAGCGGACATTAGCACTCTCCCAAGAGTGCAAGGTTGGGGATACATCCTCTTCTCTAACTTGTGATTCTTGCTTAACTTGTTCTGTTAACTTGCTTGTTGCATCATATAGAATGGTCTCACCGTAGAGTGCATATGTAGAGAACTTAATGTATCCTCACTATCCCTAATTTGTCAAGAAAACCTTAAAAATTGTAGTCCCCTATATCGAGTGGCCATCTTTGTCATGTCAGAAACTCAGAACATCTGCAACCCATGGAAAATCTCAATTGGGATGCATGGAAAGGGAACTCTGCAGCGCTCCAGAATACTAATCCATATATGAAACTATAATATGAATACCCCGAGATAATAGCATGATGGACCAAAAAGAAAGAGACATAACTTAAAAGAAAAGAGAAAGACAGGAGCAGCAGATTTCCCCGATGTAAAGAAGATACTAAAAGTCTGATTAGTTGATTCTCTTAAAAAATCACTGACACTATTCTAATTTATTAGATTCTTGTTTAAAAGAATCAAAAAAGTTCAATAGGACGAACACATAAAGAAGTGTATAGAGCTGCAAGGTGGGTTTGTGCCAAGGATTCCGAGCTGCCTGGTGCTCGGGGCCTAAATGGACTTTTCACATATATGGCCATTAGTTACAGCTCGTATGGAAACACTTCCTAGCCCATGTGGAAACCCTAAAATATCTTCACAGGCCGGAGGAAGAATCTAAGCCATCCATTGCTTATTAGTTGCTGCTAGATCCTTTGCTTCGACAACACCAACAGTGTACCACACGAGTCTTTGCCTCCACAGACTTCTGCTTCGACACAATCCCGATGCCTCCTCTCTCCCTGCAGCACATCTGCCTCTCTCTCCTGCAGCACCACCATTCCTCCATCACCGAGGACTTCACTGGATGCCTTGACCACAGCTAAGGGCCGAAGCAAGCAAAAGGCAACCGCCCCAGTGCTAAGGTGCGCTTCCACCTTTTTGGACCTTGGACAATAGTCAAACAAAAAGACTAATCCTGAAGGACAAATTCCTCCTTACCTACTACAAAATTTGATAAGTCATAAATGGAACAAAGCAGAAAGACACGGTGTATGATCAAGTCTAACAAAATAGAATGGAGGGGATCTATGGATGAATTAAAGCTAGATTTAACACCAAGTCTGTTAAGAATCAAATATAATATGGGACTACCTAGCACACAAAACCGAAAACAAATTTGACTAGATAACATGCAATAACACAAGAATATTCCAAGATAAAAGATGATAAAACAAGAGGCAAAAGATTTAGTGAACGACTAGATGCACTTATATGATGAGTCATTTAGTTACAAAAATCAACAAGATGAGTCACACATATATTGACGGAAAGAAAATTTTAACAAAATATTCCATGGTGATCGTTATTAGAGCATCTCTTAGTTAACAAGTGACCCAAAAGCGACTTACACATCGAGTGACAAATCACAAAGCGTCATAGCATGGAGTGGCAATCATATGTACTATAAAATTAACATGCCAACTACAGAACATTGGCCTCCCTTGCAATGAACCTTCCAAAACATTTTAGCCTATTTAGGCTTACAAAACCAACATCGAATTACACCAACTTAACTATCAGCTGGACATGCCCAACTGACAGAAAATGATGTGTCAAAAGCCACTGATAAAACATGGATGGGGAGTACAGCAGTAAATTAGCAAGAATTTTTTACAATATATCTTTGTGTAAAAACACTAATAGGCTAAAGGCAAAGCATGGTATGGTTCATGTACCCAATCAAGTACTCCCTCCATGAAGTAATATAAGAGCGTTTAGATTACTACTTTAGTGATCTAAACGCTCTTATATTACTTTACAGAGGGAGTAATTAATAGATCCACAATGAAGAAAACAAAAGTTCCTCTACATTGCAGCTATTTAACGTTTTTCATTCTGCTGTATTTTTTAACTTTTATCTAAAAAACAAGAAAAAGATCCAATATCCAGGTAGAAAAAGCAAGTTAAACTTAATTTCGGTTTGGTTTTGTTTATGATGCTGTAATTGTCAACCCACAGGTCAAAACCGTAGATTAAGTTTATTTACTATTTATCTGAAATACCGTATAATGTTCCTTGTGCTCATTTCATCTTGACCATGTGGACACAAAATTTAATATCAACAGTTATTCACCAAGAAACTGAAATATCTAACCCTGTATTTTCTCAACATTCCTGCACAAGTCCATTTCCATACAGCAGTAGTATACTCTGTCCAGTCCAATATATGTTACCCTCTAACTACAGTCTCCAAAATACACAGTTTTGATCAATATGTTTTATTGAATGAATATATGTTACAATATTGTGGGCACGCAAGTTTGCTACGGCAAAGTTTGGCCACAAAACCAGATATAAAAATTTACCAACTAAAGCAGAACAAATGGTGTAAACAAAGCGAAGAAGAACAGCTTCATGGAGGCATGGCCCATGTATGCTTTTGAGCATAGCTCATCTGGATAAAGCCGAGTTTTTATAATATCTGAACTAAGCAAACATCATACTTCACCAAGAATGCATTTTCCGACAAAAAAACTATATTATCGATGAAGTCAAGCTATGCTTGCAACATGGACATTGATTCTTGTGCTGTCTTTTGTTCGTCATGTGTCATCCAAGCCCTACCGTTCAAATCAGATCTTAGCCATCACAAAATACGTCATGCTCTCATGGGCAACCGGCCCCATTGTCTGGGCTATGCCCTCTCACACCCGATTGACCATCACCTGGTTCCCCAGCATGCCCACCGCTGCTTCGCCCCCGTCGACATTGTCTAGCACCGCTTCGCTATCCCTTCTGTTGTGGCCGACAATACTTGATACCAGCTCTACCGCGGCCCTGGCAATAGTCGTGCTTACCCTCCCAACATCCACTCCATATGTGTACTCTTCCTCTCCAACAGTGGCGAGATCGTTGAGTCCATGTACTTGTACTCCGACTCGGGAAAGATCTAGGATGGAGAGTGGCAAGCCTCGGAATTAGTGCTGATTTGTAAATGGTCGTGATTTCGCCTAACCACTAATGAGATTGACTAGCCGAACTAGAGCTTTTGTGAGCTTCATTCGAGCAAAGGTCAAGCTCAGTGAGTCACTGTGAAGCTCAAAGCTGCTTTCTAGCCAAGCGTGGGTAAGTCTTGTCTAGCCTGTTTTTCTCGTTGACAGACCTAGCATGCAAATGACTAAAGTTTATGCTTCCAATATGCTTGATGCACACCGTGGGAAAAACAGTTACATTGACAACATATGAACTGAGGCCTCACTATCCGGTGGTCACATTATCAGAATATGACTAAAACCAGAGCACAACAACATTTGCTAAAAGATGAAGGGTAGAGCAACACTATACAAGCATAAGCAAATCATAAGTAAAAAAGCTGCGTGCCTAAAAAAATGCAATACCTGGATTCTTTGTCAAACCCGAATCTTGCTCCAAAGTAGAAGGCTACTGCTAGCAACCAGGCATCACTGTGCACCGCAACAAGTGACAACCAATCTTTCTCATCCATCCCATCCCGAGCAAAATTAATTCCCAGTGCCGGCTCTGGAAGTTCTGGGGGAACCTCCTCTGCAGGCAAGTTCACTTCCCATGTTTCATTGGGAAGACCATACAGACATAGATTCTCTTTCTCTGAAATCAAAATGGCAACCTCTTAAGCCCCCTGGTCCCATTCAAGACTATATTCTATCCAATAAAAACAAGCCAGGACCAAGAAAGCCTCAGCACGACTGCAACTGTGTGCCCAAGAAACAAAAACGAGAAAAGAAGAATGAGGAAAAGATCCGTCCAATCAGACTCTATAATGCGCCTTCGCGATCATAACACAACAGATACAAATTTTAAGACTAATCCGGGATAAATACTACAGCTGCCAACGAAGACTAATCCGGGATACACTAAAATATGGCAAATTATTGAGTATATCATCTGACATCACGAGGACATGTGGTGGTGAACTAAAGACGCGAAAAAGAATGCCAAACGAAGATGGCGTACCAAAACTTGGAAAGCCTCGAAAGTTCTCCACGGGATAGCCTGATCTAGTACTGTTAAACTTATGCACTATGTCCGTGGAAAATGACTAATTAAATAAAAGCCCGAAAATACCCTTCATAAGATGGATACCATGGTCATTTGGTTACACCGCACCACACATCATTTTTCTGTGTGAAGGGCGACGAGAGCACTAGTCAACAAATCAGGAAAAAAACAAGCGCCCCACCTCATCCCTTTCTCTCTCTTACCCACACCCACTGACACCCACCCACACGCACACGCACACGCACCATTTTTCTAGTACAACTGATCTGTTAGTAGATCGAAAGCAAGAAGCACCAAATTAAAACAGAGGGAAACAATCCAGTGGCTTTTCCTGCAAAAATCACAAAGCTTCCTAAAGGTTTGAAAAATCCCCAACCCACCGGTACAGTAATTCCAGCGAAATTCCCCTACAGAAATCGGGGCAGAGAGACTCCCAAATTAGAGCCAATAACAAGTTAACAACAAGTAGCGCACAAATTTCCTCTTGAGAGAAGAGGCAAAGAGAAAACCACGCCAGAAACACAAACTCCACTCAAGCAGGTAAACAACCGCATCACTTCCATGTGAAACCTCAGCGAATTCGAGGTCCGAGAACGGCGAATCGGAGACGGTCGCGAGCTCACCTGGGTCGCACTGCTGATAGAACTTCTCCACATCTGCAAATCCACCGACCAAAAAACCAGAAACTAATCAGAACCTCCAAATCCTCACCACAGAACCCCGGAAATACTCGAAAAAAATATCGGCCGGGGAGAAGAAAGCGAGCGCGCACCGGTGGTGAGCGCCTTAATCATGCCGGCCCGCCGCGCGCGGAAATCCCTGAACACGTCCTCCGGCGTGCGATGCGTGCCTCCCCCGTCCATTTGGAGGCGCGAGCGTCGCCTGAGCTCCGGGGCTAGGGTTAGGGTTTTGGTGGCGGAGGCGACTGGCCGAGGCGAGTAGTAAGGCTTTGGAACAGCGAGGGGATTGGCGACCAGCCGAGGAGATGGATTTTGAGGAGATAGTGGAGCGGAATGGCCAGTTCGGGGGACCGGAGCGCGGGCTTTGAATCACATCGAGGTTCCATCTGCAAATTTACCGTACTTGCCTGTTCTGCTGGTGGAATTGCATTCGCACCCAGGAAAGGTTTGCGATTTTCAGCTGCGCCTCCGGAGAAAACGGTCACGCGCGGCAAAGCCCTGACCGCTGTAAAGCCGTGTTAAACGCATGCCCGATGGATGAGCCGCTGGTGTGTGGGTCCTGGCAGCGGCTGTCTCTGGTTCCGTGCGACTTTGCACACCTCGAAATAAGCGAAAATTCATACAGATGTACCAGTCATATTACGGAACCAAATAATTTCAAAACACTTAGAAGCTGCACATTAACTCTCACCTTATTCCTTATTTCTTGACATAAATAAAAAATCAACCAATAAGAAACGTGGGGTGTGTATGTTTTCAATGGCTTAGACTACGTTGCACGAGATGCAGTAGTTAGTTCATTGCATGCAATAATATTAATTAGCAAATAAACATTAAGTTCTTTCGTTTTCGCCTTCACCTTCATCGGGGTGCACAACATAAGATGATTTATGCACTGGTACGGAGGGAGTAGGGACTTGCACCTGCGCATTGGTCTACCGCCATTCTGTTGGGGCGTGTTTGTTTCTTTTTAGTCTAAACACACTTCTTTTTATTGATTGATATTAAAAATAATGGGAACACTCCCTCAAAAAAAGGATAATGAGAAGACAATTTATATCGGGTGGGTTTAGGAACCACAGACAGCGTCCTACCCAAAGTCCTAAAGCATGTGTAGTAAAGCTATGTACCTCTTGTACCTCTATGTTGATCTCACGTCCTTCAAAGATGAAGGAACACTCGGTGAACTAGCCTTACGTAGCTTGAATCTCCTTGATGATTGTAGCATAGTTTCCTCATGTATCTCTGAGTATGTCATTGATCACTCCTTGATAATCAGAGGATATTATCACATGTAAAGGGCTCGAGTAAGAGATAACCGAGGCACGCGGAGACGACTATGTATCTTGAAGTTCACACCCTTGTGGATGCTAATCTTCGTTTGGAGCGGTGTGGAGGCACAATGCCCCCCAAAATCTGTCTAGGGGTCACCGTAATCTCCTCACACCCTTGCACAATGCAAGATGCCGTGATTCCACTAAGGGACCCTTGAGGGCGGTCACTGAATCCGTACAAATGGCAACCCTTTGGGGCGGTCACCGAACCCGTACACTTTGGCAACCCTTGAGGGCGATCGCCGGTACCCGTCAAATTGCTTAGAGCGATCTCCGCAAATTGGAGACCTTGACGCTTGCCCGGAGCTTTACACAACAATGATTGAGCTCCGAACACCAACAACCGTCTAGGGCGCCCAAGCACCCAAGAATAATAAGCTTCTCAACTTGTAACTTTCATGTATCACCATGGATAACTCAAACCGATGCAACTAATGCAATCGCAAGGGCACATAGAGTGCCCAAGTCCCTCACTCTCAAATCCCACCAAAGCAACGAAAGCTATGGAGGAAAAAGAGAGGAAGAACGAGAACACCAAGAACTCAAAGATCTAGATCCAAGCGGTTCCCCTCACAAAGGGGAGAAAGTGATTGGTGGAAATGTGGATCTAGATCTCCTCTCTCTTTTCCCCCAAAACTAGCAAGAATCCATGAAGGGATTGAGAGATAGCAAGCTCTAAGAAGGTCAACAATGGGGGAAGAGCACGAGCTAGAAGGATCAGGTTCAATGCAGAAGAAGACACCCTTTTATGGGTGGGAAAAAATCCAACCGTTATGTGCTCAGCCCGCACACGAGCGGTACTACCGCTCCAACGAGCGATACTACCACTCAAGCGGTAGCAACAGGAAAATAGAGCAACGGTTAGGAACTTTGGGGTGGTAGAGCTGCCAGAGTGGTACTACCGCTCATCCCAGCGGTACTACCGTGGGAGAAGTAGAACAGGGGAGTAGAGGAGGCAGGGTAGAGCATAGCGCGACGGTAGTACTGCAGTAGCGGTACTACCGCCCGAACGGGGCGGTACTACCGCTTATTGGCGATACTGCCGCACTTCACTGCCGCCCTACTACCGTTGAACATGCAAGTGCATCTAGTGCCCCTTAGTGATTTTGGTGTATTGAAGACTTATAGGTTAAGGGACTAATGAGTTTGTGAGTGTACATAGGTTTATAAGTCTATGAGGAGTTTGATATTTATGATGAAAGTCGACCCCTAAAAATGAATGTCTTCAGCTGAAGACTTTGGTTTTCTTGAAGACTTTGAAAGTGAAGAAATTGGTGTGACCATGAAGACTTGATATTCATGCGAGGATTATGAAGCGTGAAGACTTTTGTTTTCGTAGTTTCATTTTCTCTTTCTTGAGTCATAGGTGTTGGGGAACGTAGTAATTTCAAAAAAATCCTATGCACACGCAAGATCATGGTGATGCATAGCAACGAGAGGGGAGAGTGTTGTCTACGTACCCTCGTAGACCGGAAGCGGAAGCGTTAGCACAACGCGGTTGATGTAGTCATACATCTTCACGGCCCGACCGATCAAGCACCGAAACTACAACACCTCCGAGTTCTAGCACACGTTCAGCTTGATGACGATCCCCGGACTCCGATCCAGCAAAGTGTCGAGGAAGAGTTCCGTCAGCACGACGGCGTGATGACGATCTTGATATTCTACCGTCGCAGGGCTTCGCCTAAGCACCGCTACAATATTATCGAGGATTATGGTGGAGGGGAGCACCGCACACGGCTAAGAGAATGATCACCAAGATCAACTTGTGTGTCTAGAGGTGCCCCCTGCCCCTGTATATAAAGGAGCAAGGGGGAAGGCGGGCCGGCCCTTGAGGCGTGCCAAGGAGGGGGGAGTCCTCCTCCTAGTAGGAGTAGGACTCCCCTTTCCTAGTCCAACTAGGAGGAGGGAAGGGGGAAGGAAAGAGAGGGAGGGGGAAAGAGGGGTCGCGCCCCCTCCCCTAGTCCAATTCGGACTCCCCATGGGAGGGGGCGCGCCACCTCCTAGGCTGCTGCCCTCTCTCTCCCCTCAGGCCCACTAAGGCCCAATACTTCCCCGGGGGGTTCCGGTAACCCTTCCGGCACTCCGGTTTTCTCCGAAATCACCCGAAACACTTTCGATGTCCGAATATAGCCGTCCAATATATCGATCTTTATGTCTCGACCATTTCGAGACTCCTCGTCATGTCCGTGATCATATCCGGGACTCCGAACAACCTTCGTTACATCAAAATATATAAACTCATAATGAAACTATCATAGTAACGTTAAGCGTGCGGACCCTACGGGTTCGAGAACAATGTAGACATGACCGAGACACGTCTCAGGTCAATAACCAATAGCGGAACCTGGATGCTCATATTGGCTCCCACATATTCTACGAAGATCTTTTATCGGTCAGACCGCATAACAACATACGTTGTTCCCTTTGTCATCGGTATGTTACTTGCCCGAGATTTGATCGTCGGTATCTCAATACCTAGTTCAATCTCGTTACCGGCAAGTCTCTTTACTCGTTCCGTAATACATCATCCCGCAACTAACTTATTAGTTGCAGTGCTTGCAAGGCTTATGTGATGTGCATTACCGAGAGGGCCCAGAGATACCTCTCCGACAATCGGAGTGACAAATCCTAATCTCGAAGTAGGCCAACCCAACAAGTACCTTCAGAGACACCTGTAGAGCACCTTTATAATCACCCAGTTACGTTGTGATGTTTGGTGGCACACAAAGTGTTCCTCCGGTAAACGGGAGTTGCATAATCTCATAGTCATAGGAACATGTATAAGTCATGAAGAAAGCAATAGCAACAAACTAAACGATCAAGTGCTATGCTAACGGAATGGGTCAAGTCAATCACATCATTCTCCTAATGATGTGATCCCGTTAATCAAATGACAACTCATGTCCATGGTTAGGAAACATAACCATCTTTGATCAACGAGCTAGTCAAGTAGAGGCATACTAGTGACACTATGTTTGTCTATGTATTCACACATGTATTATGTTTCCGGTTAATACAATTCTAGCATGAATAAAACATTTATCATGATATAAGGAAATAAATAATAACTTTATTATTGCCTCTAGGGCATATTTCCTTCAGTCTCCCACTTGCACTAGAGTCAATAATCTAGATTACGCAGTAATGATTCTGACACCCATGGAGCCTTGGTGCTGATCATGTTTTGCTCGTGGAAGAGGCTTAGTCAGCGGGTCTGCAACATTCAGATCCGCATGTATCTTGCAAATTTCTATGTCTCCCACGTGGACTAAATCCCGAATGGAATTGAAGCGTCTCTTGATGTGCTTGGTTCTCTTGTGAAATATGGATTCCTTTGCCAAGGCAATTGCACCAGTATTGTCACAAAAGATTTTCATTGGACCCGATGCACTAGGTATGGCACCTAGATCGGATATGAACTCCTTCATCCAGACTCCTTCATTTGCTGCTTCCGAAGCAGCTATGTACTCCACCGTTTAGTAAAAACACGTATCCAGTTTGCGATTTAGAATCGTCCGGATCAGTGTCAAAGCTTGCATCAACGTAACCATTTACGATGAGCTCTTTGTCACCTCCATATATGAGAAACATATCCTTAGTCCTTTTCAGGTATTTCAGGATGTTCTTGACCGATGTCCAGTGATCCACTCCTGGATTACTTTGGTACCTCCCTGCTAGACTTATAGCAAGGCACACATCAGGTCTGGTACACAACATTGCATACATGATAGAGCCTATCGCTGAAGCATAGGGAACATCTTTCATTTTCTCTCTATCTTCTGCGGTGGTAGGACATTGAGTCTTACTCAATTTCACACCTTGTAACACAGGCAAGAACCCTTTCTT